CCCCTGCCCACCAGGCTCTGCCCTCGCCCCTCACACACCACCCCCTGCCCACCAGGCTCTGCCCTTGCCCCTTGGCCCGTCTTGGGGACTGGAAAGCGGCCGGGGAGAGTGAAGCCCCCCAAGATCCAAGGAACAGCACCCCTGACCCGGACCTCGCCCCTGGGCGTGGACAGGCCTCCTGACACACGCTCACACTTCCCTCACACACGCAGCCCAGGCCCCGGCATCCGGTGCCAAGTCACAGCTACCCACCTTCCCACTGTGTGCGCTGGGCCACGGCCACACACCTGCCACTCACACCCCTCACACACCAGACACACACACACACCTTACACACCTCACACACCCCTACATACACACTCCCCACAGACACCTCACACACAGGTGACACACAAGCTTTATGCTCACTTCTCTTACCCACACCCCTCACGCTCCCCCACACCCTCACACACTCACATACTGCTCACACACACACGCCTCAACACACTCCCGCACACACACTGACACCTCACACACCATACAGACACTCGTGCACACACACATACACGTACCTTACGCACACACCCGCCACACTCCCCTCACACACGCACACCCTTGCTGCGTGCCCTGCGGCCCTGGCAGTAGCCGTCCCCCCCTGGCAGAAAGGAGCCTGCGGCGGGCGGGTGGGTGCCGGACCTAGTCCCTGTCTCTGGAGACGTGCCTGCCCCAGACGAGGCCGGGAGAGGGGGGACGCTGGGGGCTGGGGGGGGTGGGGTAGGGGGCGGGAAGGGGAGGGGAGGAGGGGGAAGAGGGGAGGGGAGGGAAGGGGAGGGAGGGGAAGGGAGGGGAGTAGGGGGAAGAGGGGATGGGGAGGGTAGAGGAGGGGAGGGGAGGGGGGAGGGAAGGGGAGTAGGGGGGAAGAGGGGAGGAGAGGGGAGGAGGGGGAAGAGACGGGGGACGGGAGGGGGAGGCCGGGGGGGTGGGGCGGAGCGCTGGAGACGGAACTGTATTGCAGGGACGGCACCCCCGGGGGCCAGAGCGTGGCCGAGCGGTTCCAGGTGAGCTGGGAGACGGTGATGGTGAGCAGCCACGGGGCCGTGGTGCTCAAGTGCGACGGCCGCGGCAGCGGCTTCCAGGGGACCAAGCTCCTGCACGAGGTGGGGCGGCGGCTGGGCGCCCTGGAGGAGAAGGACCAGCTGGAGGCCGTGCGGTGAGGCCCTGGGGCGCGGGGCGGGGGGGGTCTCCTGCCCTCACCCGCCCCGCAGCGGGAAGGCCTGGAGGGGCCTGTGCGCCCGCGCGGCCCCAGCGCGGCGGGAGCCCCGGGAAGGGCACAGGGGGGCCCGGGCTCCCGGGACTCCAGCGCTGCTGCCCGCGGAGGGTGCCAGGCGCAGGCTGACACGTCCCAGCCCCCACCCGCCTCACCGCCGTGTGCTCCGCAGGCCCAGACAGTTCACTTTCCAGATTCTTCCAGAAGGTTCTGTGCTCTGAGAAGGCTGGGGGCAGTGGCACGCGGCAGTCGGATCTCTTCCGTTGGGTGAGGAGTGAGTGGTACCCCCGCTCAGTGGCAGGGAAGCTGGCTGAGGACCGATCCTGTAGGCCCCGCACACGGAATTGCAGAGGAGGGGCGACGAGGGCAGCTTCTCGGGACTTGTGCGGGCGCTTTTGCCCAGGAGCTGACTCGCAGGCCCAGCACGTCCAACATGCCTTAAAAATAAAGAGCCATGGGGCGCCTGGGGGGCTCAGTCCTTAAGCCTCCGACTTCGGCTCAGGTCATGATCTCACCGTCAGTGAGTTCGAGCCCCGTGTCAGGCTCTGCGCTGACAGCTCGGAGCCTGGAGCTGCTTCAGGTTCTGTGTCTCCCTCTCTCTGCCCCTCCTCTGCTCATGCTCTGTCTCAAAAAAAAAAAAAGGAACCATACTGTTTCGTATCTAGAACCGAAGCCTAGCCATGGTGGCCACGGACCGATGGACCCAGAGACCCAAAGCCAGGCTCTCCCCATCCCTCCGCCCAGCCGGCCGCCAGGGCCCACCCGGAGGGACTCTCCTTGTGCCCACAGGATGGCTGCCAGGGCCACCTCATTCTGGGCCTCTCCATTCACCTCTAGCAGGTTGGGGAGGGAGCCACTTCCAGAAATTTCCAGAAAGGAAGGGAGGAGCCTCCCAGAAGCACCCAGCCAGCCTCTCCATACACCCCCCTGCCTGGTTCAGAACCCATCCCCAGCAAGAGAGAGACGTGGGCCATCACCCTGAGACCTGGAGGGCCCCCCCCCCCCGCCCCTGCCAGCAGGGGAGGGAGGCTGGGCGGCGCCGTGGGTGCCGTGGGGAGGCGCGGAGGCGGGGCCGGGCCAGCCCGCAGGTGTCCCCCAAGGGAAGCTTCTCCCGCAGCAAAGGAGAGAGACCCGGCTGGACTTGGGCGTGGGGGCGGGGCTGTCGTCAGCGGCAGCACAGCCTCTCGGCCTCCGGAACGCCAGCCAGGACTCGGTGTCCTTCAGGCGCGCCCGCGGCCCGCACCCCTGCAGGCGCCTGGCCGCGTCTAGCCTCTGCCTTCTGAGCGCGGGGACCCGAAAGCAAAAAGGCGGCTTCGCACTCGGCGTTTTCAAAACTAAGGAGCTGGTCCGGCCATCTGTTCGAAAACCGAGGCGGAAGCTGTCCCGGAAAGGCAGCCGTCAGGCCCCGAGCTGCCAGACGCAGGAACACAGCGCGGTGGAGACCCTGCCGCCGGGTCGGGCACGCCGGGGGCGGAGGCCGTCGGGGCGCGAGGGCGCGCCGAGCCCCGTGGGTCCGCGCCTGTGTGCGCGGCGCCCGCTGGGGTCGGAAGTCTGGAAACCACGAGGCTGGCGCCCCTTGCGATTCTCCGCCCCCCACGTCCCGCTCTTGTCCCGGAGCCCCCCGGGGTCAGCAGCGGGCGCCCCTCCCAGGCCCGGCGGCTGCGTCAGGGGCTGGGGCCGAGCCTCACTGCCGCCCAGGGCCAGGCTGCCTCCGGGGCTTCTAGACCGCAAAGGGTTCATCGATGCGTCGGGCAGAAAACGCGAGAGCCGCAGCCCAGGCCGAGAAAATACCGTGAGCCAAGGCTCCGGGTGGTGCAGCGGCACCGCTGTTGGGGGCGCGCTGGGCACCGAACACCGAGTGTGCAGAGGCAGCGGCGGGGCGGGGCGGGCTGCATGCCGAGACCCGTCCCGCACCGTCCGACCTCGCCCTGCGGCGCGGAGTTCAGCAAGAGGAGCTTTAAGCGAGGACGCGGCAAGGTCAGCGTCGTTGACTGTGACGCCGGCAGCAGCTGGCAAGTTGTACGGATCGGCGTCCTGCCGCTCAGACCGAGTCGTTGAGGAGAGACGAAGAACGGGCAGGTCGGCGAGGCCACGGCCACGGCCACGGCGTGGCAGGCGCTGACGTGGGCCTCCGCCATGGGGAGGGAGCGCCTCAGGAGCCGCGCCCTCCCCCCCCCGGCAGAACCCACTGGAAGCCAGAGGACGCAGGAGCCACTGTGGCTGTTCATGACGGGCGTCCTCGGAGGCACTGAGCACGGTGGACCCCCGTGGACAGAGCGGAGGGGAAGCGGGGAGGAGGAAGCCCCCTCGGGGAGGAGGAAGCCCCCTCGGGGATGAAGAAGGAAGAGGGGGCTGCCACGTGGGTGCGGCCTCCTGACCCCGAGACCAGCCCAGCAGGGGGCGACTGCCCGGGCTATCAGTGCCAAGCTGTGGTCCAGAGGGGGCCGAGGACGGACCCACAGAAGGGCGCGGTCCCCACCGACAGGGCAGGGTGGGCCACCGCAGGTGGCGAGGGGCCGCCCCGGGAGGCCTCTGAGGCACAGTGCCCAGGCCAGGTACGCGTGCCCGCCCGTCGCGCCGAGCCGGAAGAAGGCACGGGCCGTGGTTCCCCGCCCGCCACCGCTGGCTTCTCGTCCTCGCCAGATGCAGACTCTGGCTGTGGGCTTCCCCCGCTCTGAGTGTGCCGAGCAGCCGTGTGGACACCTGTGTCCGCGGGGTCCCCAGAAGGTGGCGGCAGGGGCTGTTGGTGAAGGGTGCCAGGGCGGGAGGGCGGCCACCAGGCTGCCGTGGAGTGTGACACTGTAGAAGGCGGGGATGGAGGACAGAGTGGGGAGGGGGCTCGCAATGGCAGCGAGGCTCTGAGAGTCCCCGCCAGCGTGATGGGGAGACCGTCGCCGGGTCGGCCGTGCAGGATCCCGTGCCAGGCAGCCACACTCTGTCCCCGAGAGCGCAGCTTGGGGTGCTGTGGGCGCCATGGCGGGTCAGATGTGGCCGCCGGTGGTCAGCAGCCCCCCAGGGCCCGGCTCGCTCAAGGGAGGAGTGTGCAGACGTGCACCCCGTCCCTGTGAAGTTCCACACGGCCCTGCAAACAGCCCGGCTCACCCAGGACCCTGTGCCGCCACCTCCGAGGTGCTCTGGTGACCTCCCATCCACACGGCTCCCACCCACCCTGACCAGCTCTCGGCTCCCGCTCGGGTCCCAGTGTTCACTGCGCTCGGCTCCTCCAGCTGTGACCACACACAGCGGGCGTCACCGTGTTAGCCCACCTCCCCCAGGGCTGGAGCCCCTCCCGGCGGAGCCTCTACGAACCAGCGTGGAAGGGAGCTCGGGACGCGCTCCAGGAAGAAAGACATCCTGATGGATTCTGCTTCCGCTTTCGGCTACACCTCACCCCACCCCAATCATAAACAAGCGCTCCCAATGTATGAAATCGGGCTCTCCTTAATTCGGAGTTCCGCTGTTCATAGAAAAATCGTCACCTGGGATTTGCTCGGTTGGGTAGTGAAAATACAGGCACGAGATAACAAACACTTGGTATTGGAAAAACAGCCACCCTTGGAAGAATCCAGATAAATGAGGGTCATTTGCAAGATTTTCTGGCATTTAGATCAAGAAATGAGTCGCTAGGTAATGAGATGAAGGGATTGCCAGAGACCCAAGGCTGCCTGTGGACTTGGAAGAGGGCCGAGAGTGGAAACCCACGGTGTTTTACAAGCTGGAACGGAGCCCTTCGCGGTGCCCCACACGCTCCGCGGTCCCCACAGACTGCTACGTGCATCCCAGCGAGTGTGATCTGGGCGTCCGGCCGGGGGCAGAATCCTCGTGGGGCCGGCTGGGCTGGTTGTGAAAGTGCTGGCGGAGCCAAAGCGTTTCACCGCTTGGTGCACAGGTGCGCACGTCTGTGTGCGTGTGGGCGCGCGTGCACATGTGCACCTCCTGAGCACAGTTAGCATGGCTGCGTGGGTGCCTTTGTATTGACTTATTTAGCAATTCCGCAGCCCCCCCCCCCCCCCCCGAATAATGACATACCCCCCCCGCCCCGAGGTGGCACTAGCTCTTCACATGGCCACACCGACCTTTCGAGCACGCGGTAGACAGCCCTGTCCAGTTGGNGTGGGTGCCTTTGTATTGACTTATTTAGCAATTCCGCAGCCCCCCCCCCCCCCCCCGAATAATGACATATTGAAAGGTCTCATTAGATCACGAGCTGGGGGCTCAGGACCACCGCCGATTCTGCTCCCCACAGAGCAGGCGGGCCCACTAACGCCCCACTTTCCTCCGCGTCTTTTGGTTTGGGGAGGATTGCTTTGTCCTTCACTGGAGTAACTTCCCACGGACCTACTCATCGCGTCTCTCACTCGTTCCCCAATCCTGCTCACGCTCCTGTTGGTACTTCTGTTCGAATGCTGAACGTACCCGTCATCTGTCGATCCCCGTTCTCTCCTCTCTTCTGCTTCTGCGCGGCTGGTTGTCTCTAGGACCAGCGTCGGATGTTTCCACTACCTTCCTCCGTCGGGAAAGCCAGGGGATGCTTGCTCCTAGCTGGGCCCTCAGCCCCGGGAACGTGTGTCCATGAAGGGGCTGTTCTGACAGGGAGGACTGGCCGTGTCCTGGGACCCGGGTGGTGGGGGGGGGTCATCTGAAGGGAAAAAAGAGTTGGCTCTGAGGCCTGGTACCCAGAGTTTTACGCCCCCTTCAGGCTGAGAAGGGCAGTTATCGGTGACGGGGTGGTGCCAGCCCGCAGAACACCGAAAACCGAAACAAAGGAGTAATCCCCAAGAAGCAGATAGAAAGGGGGGGAGCCGGGACGTGCGGGGAGGGGCTCTGGCGGTGGGGGGTGCGCCTGGAGGGAAGCCACCCGCAGAGATCCGGGAACAGCCCGTCACGTGCCAGCCCGTGGCAGGGCTCCCGCCGCTGACTTAGGGTCCAGAAGCCAGAAGGATCCCTGTCATTGGGTGTGGGAACGAGGGGCGACCGGCTAGTGAGATGCTGGCAAGGCAGGACCCCGCAGCGCCAGCCACGGCAGGAAACACAAGGCAGGGCTGAGTCTGCCACCAAGCAGGCTCAGGACGGGGACCCGCGCCCAGGAGTTAGGGACAGAGGACACTGCAGGTGGAGTGGGGGCCCAGCCCCTTAGCACAGAACCAGCATGTCCGGACGCGTCCAGAGTCTGGGGTGTGGCCGGGAGCCACACGGTCCAAGCGAGGGGCAGGCTGGCTCAGCGGACAGGGACCCCGCGGCGCCTGGTCTCCGATCAGCGTCAGCTGCTGTGCGCTCCGGCTGTCCGTCAGCAAGTGTCACAGACCTGGCCAGTTAGCGCCAGGGCGTCGTGAGGTTCTTAACGTGCTTACCACGCCGGCTGTGCCCCAAAGAAAGAAACGCAGCAAGCAGTTACGTTCGAATTCCAGTATTTCCTTTGACTTAGGTGGGGGGCTTCACGCCTGAAATGGTTGGAAAGCGTGGCCCCCGGCCTCACGCGGGTGCGCGGTCGCTCAACGCCCTCTTCTTCGGCCTTGCAGGATGATGCTGAAGGAACAGTACATCGACAAGACGCGCGTGGCCGTGTTCGGGAAGGTGAGCCCGCCGCGCCCCCACCCCTGTCCCCGTCCGGAGCGCTGCCCTGGGCCGTCACCACCACCCAGGCCCCGTCCCACTTGCCCCAAACGTCTCTCGGCTGGTGCGGTGAGAGCCGTCACTGTCTTTAAGAGCAAGAGGCTGGGCGCTTAGTGATTCCGGAAGGGAGCCGACGTCTGACCCGCTTATTTAGCAGGGCTTCTGTGTTCTCCAGAAGGAAAGACAAAGACTCCAGATCCCACGGGACACTTCATCAGGCCCCGCTGGCTGTTCTGACAGGGGCCCGCCATGGCGCCCGGTGGGGTGGCCCGGGAAACGAGGGAGCGCAGGAGTCCTTATTTCTCTGTACGCTTCTGGGCCGTGTTCATTTACCAGGGTCGCTGTGGGAGGAGTAGGCGGCTCACATTCCTCAGGGCGGCCCAGCGGGTGGTGCGCAGGCCCAGGGCTGCCAGCCAGGTCGTTGGGGGCCACCTGGTGTCACCTGGGGGTGTGCGCACGCGCATACACACACATACACACACACACACACACACACACACACACACACACATTCTTAGCCGGGATCCGTGAGCCTCACGCTTCACAAGGCACAGGCACAGAGGAATAGACCCAGACCCACCACCCTCCAAGGGAGGACTCAGCACAGGCCCTGCGGGGCCGCCTCGCCGTGCCCTCAGCGCAGGTGGAGGCTTGAACGTAATGACAGACCACCTCTAATGTCGCTGCCTCCGGACCTTCCGTGCCCAGTGTGCTCTGGGGGCCCGTGTACGGTTGAGATGCGGCGCCACCCAATGGCTGATCCCCGACACGGCCTCCTGGGGCCCTCCACCCCCGCTGTTAAGGGGAGGGCCCGGGACTCTCTCCAGAGCGTTCCGGAGGCTCATCCCCGCTGCCCGGGAGGGGCTCAGAGCCCGTTGGGTCATCTGTACATGTAACTTGGGGCGTCAGCATGTATCACGCACCCGCCTCCCCGGGAAGTTGCCGCCCTGCAGACGGACGGCTGGGTCACGGCCCTCGGCCCCGGGCCTGTCCCTGCTCAGTGTGTGCCCCTCAGAGGCTCACACGGGCTTGTCAGACGGGCTTCTGTCACCGAGTAACACGCGTCTGAAGTTCTTCTCACGGCTCGATAGCTCACCATTCTCTGCCGCGAGTCACAGGCCACGTACCGCGGTTTAGTGGTCCACTGACCGGCTTGCTTGGCGATTATGAAAGACGCCGGGGCAGCCGACCACGCACAGGCTTCTGTGCAGATTAAAGTTTTCAGCTCCTCTGAATAAATGCCAAGGAGCGTGGCTGCTGGATCCCAGGGTGAAAAGTGTGTTTAGTTTGGTAAGAAGCCACACGCTGTCTTCTAACGTGGCTGCCCCGTGTGGCGTCCCGCCAGCAGTGAGTGACGGTCCCTCATTCCACGTCCTCGCCAGCGTTGCCTTGTCGGTCAAGCCTTCTTACAAGCAAATGGCAGATGCCTCGTAAGGACTTGGGGTTCCACTGACAATGAAAAGTATTAACCAGAAGCCAAGATGACGCCTTTATCATCATTAAAAGAAGATATTCCTGTTGTGTTGAAGGAACGCTGTTGGATTGTAACCCACCTAACACACAGGTCACAACGGCTGATTCCGCGGTGAGGGGGGCACAGCCTGGGCTACACACACACAGTCCATCAGGTACAGGCCTCTTCACACTCGGCCCTTCCACCCCAACCCACGCATTCACACACACACACCCCCCACGCAACCCACATACATTTGCACCCACACACATTCACACATCCACGCACACATGCCCCCACATGCACAACACATACACGTGTACGTGCACACTCGCACGCCCCACACACGCATGCACACGTGTATTCACACCATATACATAACACACACACATGCCTCCCCACTCAACACTCAGACCGCTAGTGTACACTCATTCACACACTCATGCGCATGCAGTCACACACATGCCCCACACACTTACATGCCACCTACACACTCACAGGCCCCCATAGACACACACCCACACACCTTCCCACACAGAACACGCAGACCCCCAGTGTACACACGCTCACACACACACACAGTCACACACATACATAGACTTACACACACGCCCACCCAACACCTCTAAGCCCCTGTACCCTACCACCCTCGGCACTCTCGAGCCCCCGCCCCTGTCCCTCCACCTCCCCACCCCCCACCCCCCCCCACTCCTGCTCATCACAGCATCTCATCCAGGCCGCCTTCCCCTCGGTTCTTCAGGAGCCGGAGCACACGTGATGTAAGCGGCTTTGAAGGCACCCTTGGCAGATAACACTTAACATTTCACTCTCTCCGGAATGCCCACGTCCAAGCAGGGGCCTCGCGTGTGGCCCCCAGGTTAGGGCACTAGAGGTCGTGATGGAGCCGCCCCTGAGCCGGGCATCCTGGCTGACCGGCACCCGAGCCCTTTGGCGCAGGGTCCTCGCTGGGCCCTCACGATCGCTCCATGGCCGGGCCCCCGGGGTCGGGAAGGCAGCCCGAGGCGCTGCGGGAGGACCCTGTTCGGAGGGGGCCTGATGAGAGTCTCACCCGCGGCCGCGGCGCCTGTCATGCAGCCCCCACGACAAAGTCGGGAGGTTTGCCTCACGTAGTATCTAAGTGAGAAGGGATTTGCCTCCCAGCCTTCTTTACTTTGTGGCAGAAACTCCGTGAAAACGGTCCCTGAGTCACTGATCTCTGTCGGGCTGTTTTTGTGACAGAATGGGTGACACTTTGCTCACTCATCCCCCTCTCCCTCCCCCAGGACTACGGCGGGTACCTGAGCACTTACATCCTCCCAGCGAAGGGTGAAAATCAGGGGCAGGTTTTCACCTGTGGCTCCGCGCTCTCTCCCATAACAGACTTCAAGCTCTACGGTAATGGTCTTGCCTCCACAACCCCCCACCCCCTCCCCCTGCCCCACGGCCCCATGCTTCCCTTCCCGTGTCCCCGGTGGGTGGGAGGCGACCAGGGCATGTGGCTAACGAGAAACCTGGACGGAAGCCTGGGAAGGGGAGGGAGGGAGGGAGGGCTTCGGGCCACTTGTTTGAATGACACCAGTCCACCTGCCAATGCCTGTAAGTCACGTTCCCGACACACAAGACCAGGAGCTCAAGACTCGCCCAGGGGCCCCCTGGCCGCCCCTCCCCCGTGCCCCGACTCCACACCCAGGACCCCGTGGAGGGGCCACTGTGAGGACCTCAGGCTCCTGCAGCCAAAAGGCTCACGAAAGACACGTTTACGAAGTGCTTTAATGCAGACTTCAACTTGAAGTCCCAGAGCGCCCGCCTTCAAGATCGTAATAACTTAAAGTTTGTTTTCCCATGGGAATACGTGTAGCGTATTTCAGATGTTTAAAATTCAGTGAGACTTTAATTTTTTTAATCATGCGATTCCAAAGGTGCCTGATTTGGATGCACATAAATGCACCATCCTGCACCCTGACTGGGCACAGAGCCCCAGGCAGCGAGCCCTCTCCCTGTCTTTGCCATGTAATTAAGGATGTCCCTGGGGGCACCCGGGGGGCTCAGTCGGTTAAGTGCCCTGACTTTGGCGCAGGTCATGATCTCACGGTTGTGGGTTCGAGCCCCACGTCGGGGTCTGTGCTGATGGCTCGGAGCCTGGAGCTGCTTCAGATTCTGTGTCTTCCTCTCTCTCGGCCCCTCCCCCATTCACACGCACACGCACACGCACATGCACACTCTCTCTCCCTGTCTCAAAAATAAACATTAAAAAGACAATTAACATTGTTAAATTAACACTAAAAAGAAAACACACAAAAAAAGGATGTCCCTGCGCCTGCTGCCTTTCCTGTGTGTTGAAACAAAGTGAGAGGTTACCCTGCTCATTGGGGATTCGGATGAACCGTGTCACAGGATTGAGGTTTTGCTATATCGCTTAAAACCCAGCCACCAGCTCTAAGACACTGAACGTTACCGGGTGCTCTCTGATTACCCGTGTGAAGCCCCGCAGGCCGAGCCCACACTCCCCGCCCCCAGCCCCCTGCCAGGGGCGTCCCCGCATCTGGGGGCTGCGCACAGGCTCCCCTCCCGTAACCCTTACCGCTGTTCTCGTGTCTAGCATCCGCGTTCTCCGAGAGGTACCTGGGCCTCCACGGACTTGACAACAGGGCGTACGAGGTACGTGTGGGCGCCACACCACCGGGCGGGGGCAGATTCGATGAACCGGAGCCTGCCCCTCTGAATTCCTCTGTCCCGCCCCTCTGAGCCCTGGCCCAGCTCCGGGACCCACGCTCCCTCCCCACGGCCCGCGGGGCTCCCCCTCTCCCCCACCAAACTCACTCTGAGAAAACCTGGTGAGCAAGCAGTGCCTCCCTCAGGTCTGCCCTGTTTCTCTTTCTGGCACTCGAGGGCCAAGGACGGGAGTTAGGAAAGTCTTGGACAGAAGAGGGTCTGTCCAGGGTCCACGGTCACTGGGCACGGATGACTGCCGGTCCCCTCGTCCAAGGCTGCTTCAATAAGCCATTGATCGGCAGAAGAGTCCTCCGAGAGCACCTGCTTCGTCATAGCCACTGAAGTGACTCCGTGCCGGTGTCACACGGGGTGTTTCCCTGGGGGCGGGGCGGGGAGGGGGCCAGACTTCTGTTGCACGGAGGACCTGGCTTCAAAACTGGAATTTGCACGTGAATCACGGGACTTTCCAGCCCGGGTGTCCTCTCCCAGTGGCACCAGCCGAAATGGTGGCTCTCTGGGGCCACGTGCCGTGGGCAAAAGCTCTCCTATGCTTTCTTTCACCCCTTCTTCCTCCTAAAGCGCTCATGTAGGGAGGCTTCCGAGATGCGTGCATTCCCCTCCCCTGCGAAGCCCCCCGTTCTCCCAGGTGCAGAGCTGCCTTCTCAGTCAGGGGTCCGGTACGAACCCCTCGCCAGCCGCAGTGAGGCCCGCTAACTCTGTCCCCTTGCCCTGCATGTGCAGATGACCAAGGTGGCTCACCGAGTGTCCGCCCTGGAGGAGCAGCAGTTTCTGATCATTCACGCAACCGCCGACGGTAAGGCCCGGGGACGCTAATTCCCGCATCGTCCCGATGGTGTTCTGGGTTTAACCAGTACTTCTCCTCTTTTTTTTTTTTTTTTAACAGAAAAAATCCATTTCCAGCACACGGCGGAACTCATTACACAGCTAATTAAGGGGAAGGCTAATTACAGCTTACAGGTACCGTATTTGCACATCCACTCGTTTCATGCTTGGAGAGGGACATCCTGCTGGTGGAAAAAGAACGGACTGGTATTCCGGTCACCGCGTTTCTGCAGACACACGCGTGTTGGCGGCTGGTGGAGACGGGCACGGGCACACTGGGCCAGACGAATTAGCAGATGCTGATTTTCTCTACTAATTGATGCTGATGGCTCGGCTCTACACTCGAGCTGTGTGCATCCCCCTCCCCAGTCCCGCGATGAGCAAGGCCAGGAGAGGCCCCACACCCCCACGGTGAGGCTGGCGCTGTCCCTGGCAGGGACAGTGGGTGTTGTCCCAGTGTTGATCAGAGCAGCATTCTGGGGCACCTGGGGGCCTTTACATGTGCAGATCCTGAGCCTTCTCTCACTGGCCTCCTGCTGGACAGTACTACACGTTTACTGAATTCTGGAGGAATGTTCCAGAATCGCCTGTGGCTGAGCAGCAGTTAGGGTGCCGCCCTTCCCACGAAACAAACTCACAGCCTTGTTTTCACTGGCGTCAAGTACTAACCCAGCAGCTCGAGCCTGGGCTCTTTCCAGCGATGCACAGTGCTGCTTCTGGAAACATCTTCCATTTCCTTCCTGACCAGGGGTTCCTTTGGCAAAACAGGTGTGACCCCGATGGTCTTTTCAGGTCCAGCGATAAATGGGAGCTTTCCTCGCCTAAGCACCCCTCCCTCAGACAGTGCCAGGCCCTGGCACTGCCCGCTCCCTGCCTTCGGCCTTCGAGCCCCCGGCCTTCCGGCATCACTGCCTTGTTGGAGGGAAGGGACACGTGTGGGCCAGGCAGGGAGAGCTTCCTGCAAGGGGAGAGCCTGGCCCCAGTTGCTGAGAGGGGAAGGAAGGACTTGGCTGATGTTACCTCTGAGCTCACTTCTGCAAGGGTTCAGACCATAGTAAAGTTGAAAGCTGCCACGGCATGAATACATTTTACGCACACAGTACAGCCGTGGTGGCTTAAAAGGTAAGTCACCAGCGATGTGGATGGATCGCTCATCCAAGAGGTAGACGGAGCTAAATCAGCAAGACTGTGAGCGCTGTGCATTGTAGACCACACCTGAGGGGACCCACGCCCCGTGCCGGGCCCGCGGGCACAGCAGAGGTCTTCAGATCCTCAGGGAATTTGGAACAGCGAGCACCTCAGGAAGGGCCACAGGGCCTGGGGACCCGGACAGCAGGAGACGTACGCCCTGCTCGGTGTAATTTTGTACCATAGATGTCTTACTGTACGCACAGTGGCTCAATCCCATCATTAATAAATGCTCTAAAGTAGAGACGCAGAGGAAGGCAGAATGCAGGAGGCAGCCGGGTATCACGGGGAGAGAGTGGCTTCGAGGCCAGTGAGACTCGGCTCTGAGTCTGCGGGAACGGGGGCCTTTGTGTGGATATGGCACCTCTAGGGTTACGGGGGCGGCCAGGCACATCCTCATGGTGCGACTCGGGCCCTGGCCTCGTTCTAAGCCCTTCACAGGGCGCATAACATTTAATCCTCACATAGGAGCTGCATTCAGTCACGATAATCATGTCCACTTAACACAACTGGAAACTGCGGCTCAGGAAAGTCGCCTGCCCGCAGTCGGAGGGTGAGCCAAACGCGGGCGGCCGGGCCTCAGAGAAACGGCAGCAGGATTCGGCCCGGGAGGGTTGTAGAGACGGCACAGAACCCTTCCCGTGCTTTGGTGATCTGGGGGCCCCAGGGCCCTGGGCTGGAGCCTCCGTGGCCCGGGACCTCGTACCCGTCCCTGCTGCAGACGCAAACCAGACGGTACAGAGTCTGGTGAGCAAAGCGTAGCGCTGTCTGATTGAGTCCCCCCCGGTGCACTGAGCGCCCCCCGGGCCCGGCAGAGCCTCCCAGAGAAGAAGCGGGTTAGGAGATCCATTTCTCGGGCTGCCGCCGAGCCGTGCGCGGGGCCCGGGCCGTGCGGGGTCCGGGGGGCGACCACCCCGGCGGCGAGTAACCTGTTCCCGCCTTCCCCGCAGATCTACCCGGACGAAAGCCATTACTTCCACAGCGCCTCCCTGCACCAGCACCTGTACCGCTCCATCATCAACTTCTTCGTGGAGTGCTTCCGGATTCAGGACAGACTCCCCACGGCCACAGCGAAAGAGGAGGAGGAGGAGGACTGAGCCGGAGCCAGCCCTGAGCACGGCGGGGGGCTCCCCCGGGAACAGCGTGCCGCGGGGGACCCCGCCGGCCCCTCCCGCGGGGCCAGGGCCAGGCCAAGAAGTGTGACTTTCCATAGCATGTGTGTCTTGCGTCCGAAGGCGGTTTTGCCTCAGAAACTAGCTCCTTCCCAGGCCGAGACGCGTCATCGCTCCCAGGGGCCCCTCCCCGCCGCGCCCGGAGCCGCCACAGCAGCCTCGCCTCCTCCCGGCCCCTCCCCAGGAACGAAGGACAGACAGCAGTACAGAAACTGGCCCTTAAACCCAAGCTATCCCGCAGTAGCGTGAAGACCCGCCCTGGCTAGCGGCCGCGTCCACATTAGCAGCCTTCCATCCTGTCTGATCCACCCACGCCATGGAAACTTCTAGAGCACAATTATTTTAACAGTACTTGTTCATAGATGGGCTTGCTCCTTTCTGTAATTAGGAGATCCGGCATGTCAGGGGCCGTACTAAGTGTTACTGTAGCTACACTAATGCTTAACCTTCTGGAATTAATCCGTATTTTTCTATGGTTTTTACCTGACACTGTCTCCGGTCATGGGCTTCCTCTCTTTGTGTCTTTCTTTCCTTCTTTTCTTTCTCGGCTTTGTTTTGCTTTCTGTTCTTCGGTCCATGTGTAAGGCTCGTTTGGATACAGAAACAGATCAGAAGCAACTAACTGCCCTCTCCTCGAGATTGTCTTGAGACTCTGTGCAGAAATTTCCAAAAAAAACACAAACTGGGGAATCAACATCCAGTACTATTCACTAAAAAAAAAAAAAAAAATCCTAAATAAAACTTCTTTCCCACAAAGCCGCATTAGGATTTGGCTTAGACTCACACTATGTACGTACGCCTGAAGCCCGTCCCCTTCTCCCTTGATACCTTGTAAGAGTTTCTCACGTGGCATTCGGTCAAAAAGCCGTGACAAGACGAAGGGTTGACTCCCTCCCCAGGTCTGTGGGCGTGCTCGGGGGACCGTCGAGGGCAGCGTGGGTGCGAGCGGTGGCCTCCCGCCCGGGGACGGCTCGGCGCCCCACCACCGTGTGCCAGCCGCCTGTCCATGGGACGCCCCCTCCGACGGGATGCACGGCCGGTGCTCCCGGTGCATATTTCGTCCTGTTGTATATGAAGACGGGAATGGGGACCGCCCCTCCAGCAGCTCGCGTCGCCTGCATGCCGCCGCCCTGTGGCTGACCGCGCTCCCCACAAGTGCTAGTTTGAGACGTACCGACCACTTCTGTTTCCTTTGGAGCTCGTTGACCACCTGAATGTCAGTACTGGTCTCTCCCGCTTCCGGTCTGCCAGGGGGGTGGTCCTTGACCTCCCGTCGGCGGAGAAGGCTCGTCCGTGTTGCTTTGGTGTTTGAGGGTTTTGGGTCTCGTCTCCGTGAGTTTTGAGTGTCAGTTGCAATGAGGGCGATGGGAAGGTCTCCGTCACAGGATTTTTTCAGGTGAGACGTCGCCATCAGGGAAAAGGACCGACGCGTGAGCAGCCGGACGGCTCTGGACGCTACGTGACCGTGACTTCGCGATTTTCAGTGGGCTTGACCGAAAGCCAACTCGGTCCGACAGGGGAAGCCAGCTGTGGCCGCGAGATCTGGCAGGAGGGACGTGAGCATGTGGCATACTAGCGTTTGTTCATCCATGGAATAAAACATTATTTTACCACTCGGATAGCTCTTTTCTTGCTTACCCTCCACCATCCCTCCTTAGGAAGTGTCGCAAGGTGCTTACTGAGCCCCGACCAAGTCGGATGCATGCACCCTCGTGTGCAGCGAGTGACTGTACCTGTGCAGCGGGGTACTCCCAGTGAGGACAGAACCGATCAAATATACCAAAGTCCCACACCAATCAGAGAAAGTGAATTTCTTGTGTCTTTAAAGTTTTAGGGCAAAGGCATACAGATATTCCCTAACACTAAGAGCAAAACGGGCTCTCCGTCGAGACCACAGCATTGGCCCCTAGAAAACTTGAGGAAAACCTCCTGAACGTTGGGACATTCCTCTGTGGCATCCCCTAGGACACAGGCTGCCCCATCTTAGAGGTGTGCGTGTCGGGGAGGGGGGTGCAGCTCTATCACTGGCCTGAAAACCCGCCCCTCCCTCTGCTGCCTGACCTAGCAGTACCAGAACGATGATTTTGTGAAGGGTCGATGGCCTTCTGGAAGCCTTGTTAAAGCCCCAGTGTCACAGAGACTGGAAAGGCACTTCAGGCCTTCTCTGGCCCTCTTCCATTAGCACATGGCGAGGGCTCTTAGGATAATCACAGGAGAGGCCGGGAAGCCTGGAGAGATACTGGATATGCAGATAGAGAATATCCAGATCATTTATAAACACAGAGCTCGGACCCACAACCTGCAGCCACCAGCTGGGAAGCCGGGCCACAGTCTGCAGCGATCAGCCCTAATCAGCCCCTTGATCAGTACCTGCTGGCCTCCCTCACGCTCACCCCACCTCCAATTTAGGACCCACCAGGAGAGCCAAATACGCCCCGAGCCAATCACGTGGGAGCCTGCTTCTAGTAGCCGCCTGGCTTCCCCACGCCCCCAGCCCCGGGCTCCGCCAGGTCGGAGCAGCAGCCCCTGCTCGCTCTCGCGCTGGTGGTGCCTTAGTCCGCTCAGGCTGCGGTGAGAAAGCCCCACACACGGGGAACTCAAGCAATAGGAACGTATTTCTCACCGTCTGGAGGCCGGAAGTCCAAGATCAAGGTGCCGGCTGCCTCCGTTCCTGGTGAGAGCTATTCTCCGGGTTCATAGGCAGCTGTGTCCTCACAGGGCAGAGAGAGAGGGGCCGGGTGGGGGAGGGCGCTCTCTCTTCCTATAAGGGCACTAACCCCACCAGAGGGGGAGCCCCTCATGACCGCATCTAAGCCTAACTACCTCCTAATACCAGCACACTGGGGGTAAGGTTTCACCATGGGAATTTGGGGGGGACGCAAACCTTCCGTCCCTGACAGGTGCTCTTGGTTTAGGCCCCTGCTGGCAGAAGACAGGTGTTGGAGAGGAGCTGCTGAGGAGCGGGTGTGGGCCCTGGGGGGCAGGAGAGGGGAGGAGGGGAGGGGCTCCAGCCCCGGGGAGACTGCCTCTGAGGGGGGCTTCCCAGAGAGTCGGGATGGGCCTCCTTCAGGCCACGGGCTGCGAACCGGCCATCGGCCGTCTGAACCCCGTGCCTCACGGCACAGACGGGGAGCTAAAGCCCAGGGGAGGCGAAGGCCACTGCCCCCCAGTACAGACGAAGGCCGCAGCGGCTACGTGCCTCCTCCCCTCGCTGTGTTTTCCCGTGGGACGAGCTCCAAAGGCCAGGCCTCCGCCCTCACAGGTGCCTCTGGGCCTCTCGGCCTCGCCAGCTTTGGGAGCCCAAGCCCCCGGCCGACCCGGAGCCAGACTCGGTGGAAAGGGGTCTCAGCATCCAGGTTCTGAGCAAGCACGAAATCTGCGGGTGACCCCAGCCCCTGTCCAGCTCAGGCCTCTCTTCCAGGAAGTCTCGTGTTGACTCAGCTTAACCGGCGCCAAATGGAGCAGTACCCGTCGTGTGGTTCTGCTTCCCAGGCTGGGATCTGGAGCGACACCGGGAAGCGGAACGGCCCCAGCCGGCCGCGCAGCCTACAGCGTGGCCCCGACCCCGGAGCTCACAGCTCACACCCTGGATCCATCACAGCGACTCCGTAGAGCGGACCAGAAGCCCAGGACACCGGCGCGCCCGTGCGCACCTGTCTGCACATGAAAGGCACCACACTGAGCGGCGGGGCTCGGGCGGGGCCGTCCTCTCCTCCTGCCCCTCAAAACCCGGGCACAGGGCCCTGAGGCATAGGCTTTGGCCCCCAAATGGTCAGGACCCTGGATGACTATTTCCAGTGGCAAAAACAGGCCCCGTGGGCGGCCAGTACTTCGGACCAGAGTGGAGGAGGGTCTCCCCCACTTCTCCAGGCGCGGTCCTGCTGTCTCGGGCTGTGATGACGTTTCCAGCGGGACTCTCTGCCCCAATTCCTTCTTGAGCCCACAACCACCTACCTCACAGAGGCTTCCGGTTTCCTGGGGGCCGGTGTCCAAGCTCCCGAGTCACGGCTCACAGTGCCTCCAATCCCCAGGCCCCAGTTTATCTCACAGGCTTAGCTCCCGTGACTACCCTACACACACGGCCTGCCCCCCCCCCCCCCCCCCCCCCCCCCCCCGGACAGGCTCCCTCTCCCTGCGCGCGCCCGCTGCCCCTGCACACGCCGGGGGCCTTCGCGGCGACTCCCCCTGGTCACAGCGGTGCCCCCCAACCTCTCGGCCCCCCCGGGCCGGGTTGTTGTCTCAGTGGAGGCTGTGCTGTGCACGCAGGGAGCTTGGCGGCTCACTGCCCTTGAGACGCGCCATCTACCAGCAGCCCCTCCCTACAACACGGCAGTCTAATGTGTCCCCAGCACGGCCCTGTGTCCCGCGGGGAACATCACCCCAGCTGAGAGACCGGTTTGGAGGCTGCGCCGTGTCCAAGTCCAACAGCTCTGCACGTGCCCGACCCTGAGAGGGAGCGCCGCCCTGGACCTCACACCCTACGGGTCTTATTCACCTCGTCTTAGGGCCCAGGCTTACCGCCGAGGTGACCGCGGGCCTTTGCGGGCTAGGCCGTTCCAGGTCCTGAGCTGCTGCCCCTTCTGAGAGCCGACGGCCAGGCAGGGAGGACGTTCGTGCAGCCCCGGGGGGGAGCTGAGGCCTCCCGCCAGCACCCAGGATGCGTCTTCAGACGCACGAGGGCACCACTCTGGAAGCAAGCCCTCCCGCCCCTCAGTCCTGCGGATGCTGGTGACCAGAATCACCAGTATTCCTGGTGGGTGAGGGGGCATTTTAACAATAAATATATAGATATAGAAAATTCATGGGCTAATAAAGAAATGGACCAAATAATGTCTCCAAATTCTGCTCTGAACACAAGAAGGTTGTCGGAGTTTCATGGCTCAGATGATATGAAGAGATGCTCAGTCTCTAAGTAACCGTTTTTACAGGCATCTTACTACGGTCCACGAGTCAGGATGATGATTTGCTGAATGAGCTCAACAGCCCGTCGAGCCCGTCTCGGACATGTGCAGGTAAAGCACGTCTCCAGGAGAACACCGTTGCCAGTGTCCACCGGCACGGATTTCCGCACCGTGAGTGCTTCTATCGCCTCCGATTTCAGATGACAGCCCTAAAAACAGAGCTGGACCGTGATGTGCGAGATTCCTTCTTGCAACACTTCCCAGGAGGAGTGTGAGCTCCCCGGGCCGCGGACCATCCACCTGGGGCTAACATGGGAAGGAAGGGGATGTGGCTTCTAGACTGGCCAGAGGATGTTGGCCTGCGGAGAAGTTTCGGCCAGTTCACAGAGCCACACACTCCAACCTGGCCGCAGTTTCCTCAACGGCTTGGGGGCGGGAGGGTTGTTCCACAAACAGAATCAGTGTCTTGCCACCTGACGTCAGGCCCCCTGGGGCCTGGGGGTGGGGGGTGTTTCTTCTGTATCCCCTTTTCTGCCAGGGCAGGTGAGCAACTGCTCATAAAGGAACGCAGAGTGGGTAGCGATGGGCGCAGGGCGGCCGGGAAGAGGAGGGAGCTGCCCGTTCCAAGGTGTGGAGGAAGGAAGGAGGCAGCGCTGATTGCCCTCCGCTTAGGAGCCAGCAGCAGGCTGTCGGGGCGGCGGGGAAGGGCGGGCGGCGGGGAGCGAGCCTCACAGCACAGCCTCGGCTCCGGAAACGTCACAGCGCACCACAGCTGCTGGCACTTGGGCACAGACCTCACAAATATTTCTGCAAGCGTCCGGCCACTGCGCTCCGGGAGCGAGTCAAGCGCCTCACAGTTATGTCCTTATGAACGATCAGCCGCCGCGGGCTGCGGCGTGAGCTCCCGCACCTAGAAAGGAAAACCCACCCCCACCGACTCTCCCTCCCCATCTCATCACTCTCTGGGGAACTCAGCCGCCATGTGAGGACCCTCAGGCGGCCCCGGGAGCGGCAGGAGGTGAGGAGCGGAGGCCCCGGGCCGGCAGATTCCCCAGCGGCCCTGGAGCCCCACGCGGGGGCACTTCCAGGCTGAGAGCTGGGCTGTGAACGTGAGCCGGAGCCCACATGCCTGCCCCCCAGAACCCAGGTGAGAAGTGCTGTGGGTTTTCACCGGTAAATATCGGGTTATTTGTTACACAGCATGGACGGCCCACACAATCCCAAACGCTTGTCATCCGAATCCTTGACACGCGAGGAAGCCGTCTGTCCGGACGGCCTCGCCGGCCCAGGAGCCCCCGGGGCTGGTCCTGAGACGCGCCAGCCCCCTGCTAAAATGAAAACTCGTCTCGTCCACGAAGGTGCGCTCACGAGCAGGCCAGTCCAGATGCTTCTGCGGGTTCGGACAGGCCTTAGCAGAGTGCCGCCCCGCTGTCTCCCTCAAGCCCCAGGCAACTTCTCCCGTGACCGTCAGGGCTTCGCACACGGAACTGACAGCCTTTCACTTTTAGAAAGTCGCAAAATGCACCTTCGTGAGAAGCAGGAGAGGCGGCTCGACGGCACACAACTGGGCCTGAGCAACCAGCTGACGCCAAGCTGACGGCTCGCGGCAGCCAGACGCAGCCAGAGCGTCGCAGGCCTCCAGCCGCCCCGCTCCCTGTCGCCCGGCTGTGACTGCAGGGAGCCCCCACTCAGCGCTCCGTGATGTCGGCAAG